ACATTCTGTGAGATTTTTGTCTGGGTTCGTCTTTCGGAATTTTTTCGATCACGATATCCGCGTCTGTTGTTTTCGTTTGCCGACCGGGCGAAAAAAACAACGCAGTTTTTCTGTTTCCTCGGCGCCCTTTACGGACGACGACGCTTTTTCTCGCTCGTGCATTTCGATTACACGACCGTGGCGGACGCAGCAACTTATTCGCGGCGGAGTTGGGCAGTGCTTTCTAATTATTTAGAATAATTTGTTTAGAATAATCGCGATTAGGGAGATTAATCTGTAGTCGTTTGAAGAAATTTAGGAGCGGGGCACTCGGTGCGCTGGGCGCGGGAGTGGGGAGGCCTTTGACGAGCTGCGCGCGCAGTAGGACGCCATGATGGTTTAGTGAGCAGGGGAGGCTCGAGCGACCTCGGGGCCTTTCGGTAAAGGTCACGGAGATTTTTGGAAACTATGAATCGATAATTTGAAATTTTCTAGAGAAAATCAAAACTGAAAATCCACCGATTGATTATAAGCATACCATCTGTCTCATCAAAGAAATCTGAATTAAACGAAACACTTGACGTTTCCAAATAAACTATTCGTCATAAATACACACACATGTAAAGCTTATTCGTGGGAATATTTACAAAGAAACATTTATATTGCTTTAATCGTCGTTTAATTTAGAATTTCTTCGATAGAGAGTACGAATACTCATGAGAGTAAATAAAACTGAGCTTTCTATCTTTCTCTTTCTTCTTTTCTTTCTAAGTCAACAGGCCAGGAGCGTAGCTAGCGACGACAAACACATCTTTAAAAATCCTTAAAAAATTAAACACCCGGTATATTAACAATTTCCGATTAGATTGAACAAGCTGTTGCTCGCCACGGTCATTTATGGATCTAGGATTCGAATCGCGAAAACAATGGACGATTGCATACGTTGAATCCTATTTTTTTTCTCTGTCTCTTTTTTTGGTCTTTTTTTCCTTTTGAAGAAGCTGCACACACACAGATAGAGCACGTCATCGTAAATGAACACAAAGAACGATCAGAAAAACTGAAATCGTGTCGAAGAAAGTTCTTAGGTGGCACCTAAAAAAGGCCTTGGAAACTGTGTTTCAGCGATAAAAACATTGTTATTAGTTTAAAAGTAATACGTAGAACATATCCTGAAATACGTTATACGATAGACTGACAGTAAATATATATATATTATCATGTATACATATATATGTATGTATATATATATATATTATTCTTGTCTGGTAAATCGCTTATGGTTTAAGGGTGATATATCCATTATCTTTCTTTGTCGTTTAATAATTAGTTTCAACAATGTAAGCAGAGTTCTTTTTTTTTTTTACCTTTTCATTTATGTAGTTATGTAGAGAGTGACTATTATAATTCTATACATATTAGGATAATAAGACTTTTGAGATTGTAAAAATCATCAAAAAATCTATCACAATTACCATTTACGTAACAAGTAATTCTCGTTTCCATTTCATTTCATTTCTTTCTTCTTCTTCTTTTTTTTTTATTCTTCTTTAATATTATTATTGTAATTTAAACATCAAGGCAAATAAGGGGTGAATTTCAACAGTGGCCTAAATTAGCCAAGTAGTCTTCCACAGATAAAAATATGTAAATAGAGTAAATCTATACTAAAATATTCAAGTATATATAAGGTGAGCGTAATATAATAATTTTGTGAGGTAAAAGACCCTCTCATTAATGGTCATCCATTCGTTACACTATGAGTTTAGTTTTTACTTATTTATCTGTTCTTTTTTTTGGTAATTTTTCCTGTTTTTTTTCTTCTTCTTCTTCTTTTTTTAATTACTTCTAAATACGACTGGCAAAATTGTTTGCAACATATTCTCTTTTACTTTTCAATTTTTTGTCAATATCTTATTTACTTTTTTTTTTCTTTCTTTCTTATATTCAACGTACCATTAGAGACCAATAGATGGCTTTGCGTCCAGGTGTTATTGTGCATGAAACATAAATACACCTTCCACAAGGCGTCGCTAACAGCATCTCATAGGTACCTCTAATTATATTTACCTAGCAACAACATCAGAGACTCTGTAAGGACACAACTTATCCTGACGATACTATTATCACAGGCATTATTTATATAACTCTGCTAACCATGACTATTAAATACTTCAGAATTACTCCTTTTCATTTTTACTTTTCCACCCCCCCCCATGTTTTTCTTTTTAATATATATAAAATTAAAACTTCTAATAATAAAAGATGATTACGACTGATTAGCTTAGGTGTACGTACGTAGGCTTCGTGCAATTTTCTACAAATGTTATGCGTAAACTTCTGAGTAGCCCCCAAATCCCAAAAAATCATCTGCGTTTAGTCAACTCTTGCTCCTAATTTTTTCCCCCGTCCCCATCTAATCATTCGTTCCCTTTTTCTTCACCTTTACCATGGGAAAATCCACAGACACCGTACAATCAAATTTCTCCAATATGCAAAAAACAAATCTGTCGAAGCTATCCAAGTAGAAATATATATATGGATGTGCTTTCTAACATTTGGTATGGCAAGATAGTTATTCACATTCAATTGTTATTGTAGGTAATGTTAACACAGTATATATATATATATATAGCAATCTGCCCAATATATCCGTATATATATATATACATATATATACACACATATATATATATATACATATATATATATACACATATATATATACATACATATATGTATATATGTTGTATACACATTGCATATCATTTTTCTTTTTTTGTTTAGTTTTAATCAAATCTTAAGGCTGATCATGTAAACAACCCTAAAAAATATGTGTATCTTCTATATATGTATTGTGTTCATTTTACGTGGAATTTTTTTCATATTTCTCCCATTCGTGGATCGTGTATCGATATCATATATACATAAATAGAAGTCGTTTAGCAAACTGTACGTTACTTTTTTTCTTGTTTTCTTTTCTCCTACGTCGTCATTTTTTTTTTTTGTTTTGTTCATTTTACCACTTTTCGTTTATACATAGATAAAGTATTGTTCCTATGGTAATCGGTGGTATAATTTTTTCTTTACGAACCTTGTATAATGCGGTTACAAGATCGTTCCCGCGAGAGCGTCGCAAAATTTAGGGAACGATTCTGTAACTTTTCTCTCTCTCTCTCTTTTTTTTTTTTCATATGTATATAACAAATACAATTTACATGGTATGGATATATTGTTAGTCGCTAGCACCACGAACCGATTATTCACACACCCACATACATATATGTACGTATCTGCCATACATAAACATATATATACACACACACACACACACTATATATTTATATAATTATTATATAATATTTTATATATATACATACATACATACATACATATATATATATATAGTATGATATATTATAGTATAACTATATATATAAAATACATACTATATATTATTATATAATATTATTAAAATTATATAAATATATAATATATGTATACACATAAACACATATTATATATACACATATATGTGTGTATGTTGTATATATATATATAATGTGAAGAGATTCACATATGTACACGTATGGTATTTATGCAATGTGTATGTACACATGTATATGCGTGCGTGTATGAATGTATATATTTATATGGTGGACCATAATAAAGCATCCTGAGTAAATATTGTAACCATTACGTGTCTCGTCCTATCATTAATTATTTTTGTTGTTGCTGTTTTTTTTTTGTTTTTTGTTTTTAAACAATGGACAAACGGGATCCATAATCGGTGGCCTAGACGAGAGTCATGCTTGCGACATTGCCCACCCCAGGAGATTACACACGTTGCGTTACAATTAAATGTTTGATTATTCAACGTTATCGTAATCTATATACCCGACCAAATTAACGTTCACCGCAATATAATTCCTCTTCCTCTTATAATTCATCTTCATCTCTTTCCCCTCCCCTCCCCTCACGGAATAAATTACTTTAAATTCACCAGGAACATAGCTTGGTATCGTTTTCTTTCTTATTACCTTTTTCTTCTTCTTCTTTTTTTTTTTTTGTTGTTGTTGTTGTTGTTTCTTTTCGTTTAGAGATATGATATGATATAAGAGCAGGAAGTACTACCGTGTTTGTCGTAGCATGCATTATTTCTTGTTCATGCACTTAAGCACAGAAATCCGCTGCTTTCTTATTTATTTATTATTATTATTTTTTTATTTTAAATCTTCTCCTTTTCGTTAAATCGTGCACACTCGGTTCCTCGACCAAAAAAACACCCTATCTAACGGTCTCACTTTGAACGAAACCTTAGAAACTCGTCTACGGAATAGGTCTCGAAGTGAACCGTTCGCAGGTGAAAGAACCGGTGTGTTGTGTGTGTATATATATATATATATATATCGTTTTATCATTCTTTCTTTACGCCCATTGCTCGATTCCTGACGTTGTGACAGGACAAAAATACACGAGTACGTCGCTTCGAGAGCACGGATCCGAAAACCAGCGTGTAAACAGTGCTCATTGAAGACTAGAATAATTTGATTTGTAAACATACCTAAAATACTGACGAGTCGAAGATGATGTGACACCGCTTTTGACGGAAAGCTATTGTGTTCTGTGTGTGTGTGTTTTTTTTTTCCCCAAGAAGTTCCTTCACTCTTCTCTCTTCTCTGCTTCTCTCTTCGTCTCCAAAAAAAATCCCCACTGTCTCGAAGAGATCCAATTACATAGTTTCTCGACACGTTCCACTTAACCGGTTCCTCCGTTTTCTTGAGTTCTTTTCTTGTTTTTCAGCTTTAAATTTATATTCTTGGCAGTTTACCAAATGCAACTTGCTAAATCACTATTTATATAGTTTCTTCTTCTTCGTCATCTTTTTTTTTTTTTTTTCTTTCTTAATCATTTTTCCATTTTTTGGTCGGAGACATACGTTTTAAACATACCCTCTCTCATCGTTTAAATGTTTACTTTCATAAAACAGGGACGCATTTGACTTTTTCTTTTTTAAAAAGAAAAAAAAAAAGAAAAAAAAAAGAAACAGAAAGTTTTTTCATTTTTTAAATAACCTTTTTTTTTTGTTTTGTGTTGTTTGTCTTGCTTTTACTATTAAAGCTGCACGCTGCACTTGTTTGTCTATTGCTTCTGTAGGCCCAAATCTCAAAATGAATTCGATGCCGCTGGGCATTTAATCGTCGATTCGTCTTTTTGTCGAGAGTGGAGCGTACACACGCGAGGACGTTTCCACTCACAGGAGATTACTGTGGCATACTTGCTTGGTCTGCTTCCTCGCTTCATGATATGTAAAGAGTGTTGAGTACGAGGACGTGGTGGTTATTTTTAGCCAAAGTCACGATATATCCCTCGGAGGTAATCTTCAAGCCGCAACATCGAGAGACCTGAGAAAGAAAGAAGACTGAAACTATGGAGAATAATTTGTGGTTTCTACAAAGAAATTGGCTAGCAAAGTAAAAGGAGTAAAATTAGAGAAACCTGATTGTGCGTAAGGTGTAGATAGTAAAAAGAGAGTAGTACGTAGTGTAAAAGAACCAGTAACATGACCAAATCAAACAGGATGGTATTAAATTATATTTTGTTTTATATTTCCTGTTTTAGAAGAAAGTGTTACCTCTTAAGAAAGACTCTTGCAAGTGAGATTAATAGTTTTATATTATAATTCGTACAAGAACTTGTTAGACGCTAAGTTTAATATAAAAAGATTTAGACACGAGATATAGACAAAATTATACCATCGAATGCAATATTGTATGCTAGAGAATAACTGTAGTAAAAATAATACACTCTTGCGATACATTGTAACATATTTTTTCAAGAAGATAAGCATACCTTGACATATGGACATTCGAACTCTGATATCAAGGAACCAGCTCTTGAAAAGACAGCCACGTGAAAACGATTGCCGTGCGAATCTCCTATCAATATGTCTCCTGCATCGCTAATATCAATCCCGTTTGGGAAGTTTGTTACATTGTCACAGCCAATGCGACGCAAAAACTTGCCTTCCTCGTTGAAGACCACTACACAGTGTCCCTTGAAGTCGCAGACAAAATATTCTTTACCTGCAACGTAAGGAGTCGCATCTTTATTAGCTTCTGAAAGTTCTCGTACTTTGTCTTTTAAGAAACATCCAAGAATGATTATATATAATTCATCCTTTGGACATCAATGTACCCTCTGAGGGGTCATCATAGGTCTATTCAATTTCTTTGAATATTTCCATTCAATGGCATGGAAAGGCAAACCATAATATGGTATAAAGAGAATGTGCGAACAATTGATGCTTAAAGAACATTTGTACGATGATGTGTACGTAGATACATACTTTGTAAGAAACTTAACCTAAAACTTGAACCTTAACCTAAAAGGGCCTTTCGACATACAAAGTAGCAACAGTTGTACATGTTACCAGATATTAAAGAAATATAACCTATGACTGAAGATTCATATCAGTCAAGAATCATTAGAATAAATTACATGACTCTAAAGCTATTCTACAAACATATTATTGTTTGCACATATGGTTTAGTGTGCGAAGGCTTAAATAGAGTAAAACAACATTAAAGGTCGCTCACCACTAATTGCAATATCACTTGGTTCTCTCATATATTCGCTGCAGTCGAACCACCTCAGAAGATCTCCAGTATCGCTGATCACGAACACTGTTGGCGATACACTATCAACAGCCAAAATATGACCCTCACTAGTGACAGCTAGGCCAGCTACGATATCGATGTAACGAATTGCTATTTTCTTGATGAAGTGACCGTTCTTTGTGAATATCTGCATCCTGGATCGTTCGTTCCCACGGTCACAGACAACAAATTTCCCACTGTTCCTCATCATCGCTACTTTCCTAGGGAACCACAGCTGGCCCTCTTCTTTCCCAGGAACACCAAATTCGAATTTGTAAATACCAGTCTTATTGAATATCTGAAACAAATGGAACGAATTAGAGTTGATACACTGATTATATTATTCATGTTTGAGAGGATGTTTATTGCATCAAAGAAATTATTGAATATCTAAAACAAATAGAGAACAAATATACAATGTGTAGTACAACATAGAGTCCGATGCATTAATTATTTCATTCATGTCTCGAAGGACAGTGTTCATTGAATAAAAAGAGATCGAGTCTCAATTATTTACATATAATTATACCTGAATCCTGTGATTATTCGTGTCGGCGACGATAATGTCTTCCTCAGCACTTAAGCAGAATCCATGAGGCGAGCTGAATTGCCCTTCAGCGGGACCCAACTGGCCAAATTTGCATCTGATATGCATAGGCGTTAATTTGGCATTGTTCGAACGAGGATGAGCGTAGTTTCCAGATCCTGACCCGGTCACGTTGCCAACACTATTCCCCACCACCACGGGCATGTTATGCATGGAATCCACAATTAATTCATCTAAAAAGAACACTGATGTTAGAAGATGAATTCCAAACGAAAACATTAAAATTAAGATGTTAAAATTCCTTCATACAAAAAACACCATATTACATTTCTACAAACTTTAACACACAACAAAACCCTCGTTATTTATACTTTCGTATCGTTTACAATCGTTACTACTCCTTCAGAAATATTGGAATCGAAACGATGGACAATGATCGAACCGTTACTAGACAGAGATTCGAATTTTCAATCGAAGATTATGGTTTCGTCAAACAGCGATGGTTCGAACGGAATGCATGCCCGAAAAGTGTGAAGAAGAAAACACGTTTGAAATTTCAAATGTTTATTTCTTTCGTATTTCGATGGGATAGACAAACTACTACATATTGAACAAAAATGTTAAAAAAAAAAAAAAAATAAATAAATAAATAAATAAATAAATAAAATAAAAGAATAAGGACGAACTTAGTAAGTAAAACGTGGAGGCCACACAGAGACTTTACGAGATCGGTATTTCAATTCCTCGAGTACATTGAGGCTGAGGATCGACCGCGACACCGATAGAAAGTCCCGTCTCACTCTTTACGGGAGATGTAGACACGAGAAAAGAGACCGGGGTCCAGAGGACCCCAACGGGACATTCTAGGGTTAAGCGTATTCTTGGAATCTTTAAAGAGTATCTCACCGGCACCCTGCGAAAGTATGGGCGAAGTAGAAGAGGATAACGACTGAAAGCCTCCGTTCAAAAGACTGTTGGCAGCTAGACTTAAACTTGGGGTATCCACGATAGCTGGGGAGGGACCTCTGCCCAGTACTAAACCGCTGCCACCATTGATCGTTGTGTTTCCAAGATCTGCAAACACAAGGGACCGTAAGCTTTGATCTTACTTTGTACAGTATTAACAGCGAAAGAAATATCTCTCACCTTGATTGCCAAGCGTGTTCCCCAACTTTGCAAGGGCCTGCAGATTATTGATCGCATGGTTGGTGGAGTTAAGATCACCAGCGAACAAGTCTGCCAGAGTGAAAGGGGAGGTCGGGCTTGGATTTGAGCTAGGCCCAACCACGTTTGTGTTTCCAACCATCTCAACCTTCTCCGCTAAACTAGCTAGTTGTTGAAGATTGTACTCTTGGATGCTGGTGAGACCATGGATAGAACCTGGAGGAAGGGATACAGGTGGTGGGGGTGGTTGGATGGTCTGGGGACTGGACGTTGGGGGTATAACGAAGGAAGGTTCACCTTCGAAAGAGGATTGCATCGACGCAGGAAGAGATATGGGAGACCTTGTGCTAATGGAACGTGGACAGCCCATCGAGGTATGAACAATTTGCTGGTTCGTTGAGACTCCTGGTACGGTCGAGATCGTTTCAGGAGCAGGTTTTGTCGCCGGCGTGCTTTCGGTGTGAAATTTCCCAAATACTTCCTGTGCATCATCGATCGTATTAATTTTCCTGACGATTCGAGTCTTTCTCGAATGCAGCGAGTCCTCAGGTTACACATTTACACGTTAAGTAGCTTTTTTATGCAATCGTGTGGTTCCACGTAATTCAATTACTTTTCAAAGTTAAGATTGTTTGTACAAGATTGAGGAACGAGTCGATAGTGCAAGCTGAGGACTCGAATTATGTACACGTAGTTTGGAGAATCCCGTGCCTACCTTTACAGTTTTCTCAAACTGATTATAGTCGGTCTGAAATTCAATGGAAAAAGAAACATTTGGCTTCGGTGTGTTTTTAATTAAATTCATTAATTGCGTTCCTACGATGCGACGAAGCGCTAGAATCTCCACAGCGTCGCCGTGCTCCAAGAGCCTCGAAGTGAAACGACAAGCATCCTCTATCTTCTCCACAGTTTTCTCAACACTGCGCAACAAATGGTTACGATTCATTCAAGTCTGTCGAAAACATTTCATTCATCGAATAATTCTACCAACCTATGAAACGTATCCATTATTTCCAGTTCTCTGTCCGAATGCAATTTCTCAAGCTCCACCAAAGCGCTATCGCGACACTTTTCCAAGACAGCTTTGTAACTTTGAAACGTCTCTATGATCAGATCCTTGGCTTGATCGTGCTGCGCTTGCAATTCGCTAAGAGCATTCTCCAATTGGGCAGACACCTGGTCGCAGTCCGCGATTCTTGCTTTGCTTTCGTTTACTAGTTTTATCAATTCTTCCTTCTGACGTGGCTCTGCATCTACCAATCGTTCGTACTGGTGGTCCGGAGCTTTGTGTTCGACCAGCAGACACTCGTTGCATATGGGTTCCTAAAGCATGGTTCGTAATGATCAATATTGGGAGTAAATAATCCTTGGATAATTAAACGTATTTAATTCAGAGTTTTATAATCCATACTTTGTATGGTCCCAGATATTACAAGATTACAGTTCTTCGTATTGTAGTACTGGATTGTGCGTTATCAAATTTGTAACACTTTACCGACTGGTAGTTAATCGATAGGTTATATTTTAAAACAACCAAAGCTTTATCTATCGAGTTTCCATGTAGTATAAATATTAAAAAAAACACGACTCTAACAGATAAGATAAAGATTAAGTAATACCAATATCGTTGAAATTATGATGTTCGGTACCAGTCGTTAGAGGGTTAATGATATAATTTTTCCAATTACCTGGCACGTGTAGCAGTAGAACTTCATGTTCTCAGCAGGATGACACTCGCAAAAAATAGGTTTGTGTATCGGTATAGCTTCGTTGGATTTCTTAATGTCCTCGAAGGCCACCACCTTGTGGCTCTCGAAGCAGCGCATGAATTGGTGCGCGCAGTTGCAGCTGGGGCACAAGAAGTTGGCACAGTCCGAACAGCGTGCGACCGCGCTCTCTTTGGCTTTACACGAGGTACAGAGTACAGCCATGCTCTCGATCGCGGACATGTCGAGTATATTAGTCAGAACGTAATCGCACGTGAGCGACGCGGCACCCTTAGAACTAATGGAAGTTTCTTGTTCGCAGAGGGGACAGACCAGTACAGAGCTGACCTTGGGATCGCCAGCCTCGTCCATTAAGAGCTTGTCGAGGCAGGCCTCGCAGAACACGTGAAGACAGGAAAGTACCCGCGGCGAGCACAGCTTGCCCACGCAGATGGCGCATTCTTGGTCACCGGTCTCGCTGTTACCACAGTTAATCTCCTCTAGGGCGTCTCCGGTATTGGAGCTTTCGTTGCAGCTGCTAACAGGGTTAATGTTTCGTTCGCCGAAGACATCTCCGTTCTCCACCTCTTCGCTCTGAGCGATACCAGTTCCAGCTGGGACCGACGCTGTCCCCGAAGGAACAGCCACCATGGACGATGCCATCGTACGGTTCGCCTCTTGTCTTGCTTTCCTACGGTGCTCCTGTTCCCCTCTGGCGATAACCTGAGTAAGTCTTGAACCTCGTCGTCTCGTGCTCTACCAAACAACCTGAACACCTGCAAAAGAGAGAAAACAAAGAAAATAACACCAAGACCCTCTCAGATCAGGAAACACAAGGGAGACGTTGGAGACTGTTTGAGACATCGTCGCATCGATCGCGACCACGAAAACAAAACACAGTGTCACGGTTCGCTTCAGGGAGGAAACTGAGATCGCATACGGGACCGAGCAACGGCCGTTCCGAGGCTGGGGAGAAATCGTTGGAAAAGATCGAACGAGACACGCGACCAATTTTTTTTTTCTCGCCTTTCATCGCGTTTTTTCAGATTTTCGTTAGGTCTCCGGAAAAAAACGAAAATTTTCTACCTAGCGTGTCGCGACGCGCTGCTCTCGTCCCACGTAAGCTCTTTATTTACATTATGCGTTAGTTTTTCGCTGGACGCAATGCTTACCACTCTGGAGGGGGTGTGTGAGAGGGGCGGGGTGGGGGGTTGGTTTAGTCAAGGGGGGGCGGGCTCGTATTAAATTTTCGTTTTGAACACTATCAACGTCTCGGCTCGCGTATCCGTATCACTAGCGAACATTATTATCGATCACACGACTATCACCGACGCGTTCGCGATTGTACACGGCGATTGTTTCGATTTCAATTGTTATCGACGCCTCGACCGCGAGTATCACGGGCTTTTTCATATGTAGAGCGGAGGAATAAATCATTCGAATCGAGAAGAGTTGACCCCAATGCAGGAGCCCTGCACAAACAATTAATGCGATGATTCGTATGGTTATAGACCGCGGACAGGCATCGCAGAACGCGACAATTACGTCTTTGATGACCCTCGAACGCCACCTGGCGACATCAGCGGAAACCGGCCAACGATATCGATGGGAATAAGTGGACCAAGATGTCTAACTATTTGCTCGAATTAACGGTTCTTGTTTGTTGGATGAATTAGATTGGAAAGTACTCGAATGCTCCTGTCGAAATGATACGGTATCTTTGGTGTAGCTTTGTAATGATGGCAGCCATCTTGTCAGCCTTTAGGTCGCGCATGCGCCATCTGGCGGCGCTAGTAACTTTCTAGTAACTTTCTTAGGGAGTTGGATCTCTATATACTGTCTTTATAATATATATGATAATACCATTGAGCTCTATCCTAGGATAGATAGGATTTAGGATAAAACTCAATGAACTGCACTGTCTGTCTTCGTTTTCTATATGAATATAATATTCCAACATAACGCAATACAGTCGGTATGTATTTGCAACATATCAAGGCGCCACTACAATGTTCCGTACACTGTTTACACTTAGTCAACTTCTCTCTCATGAAAATAAACTCTAAAGAATTGTAACTACACTCTCTGTCTTCGTTTTCTATACGAATACAGGGTGTCCCAAAAATGTTGTAACACCTTGAAAGGGGTGGTTCAGGAGGTGATTTGAAACAACTTTTTCCTTAGGGAAAATGTTGTCCGAGGCTTCGTTGAGGAGATATTAACAGAAAACACTGACCAATCAGCGGGCGCTCCATTGGCATACTCGCGCTCTGATTGGTCGGGAAGTGCGGCCGCCTCGCGCTCTGATTGGTTAGTGGTTTTCGTTAATATCTCCTTAACAAAGCCTCGTACAACATTTTCGCTAAGGAAAAAGTTGTTTCAAATCATCTCCTGAACCACCCCTTTCAACGACTTCCAACATTTTTCGAACACCCTGCATAATATTCCAACATAATGCAATACAGTCGGTATGTATTTTCTCCCTCATTAAAATAAACCCTAAAAAATGTAACTACACTCTCTGTCTTCGTTTTCTGCATGAATATAATATTCCAACATAATGCAATCAGTATATATTTGCAACATATCAAGGCGCTACTACAACGTTCCGTACACCGTTTTTTAATCAACTTCTCCCTCATGAAAATGAACCGTAAAAAATGTAACCATAGCGATTGGGAGCCACCGTGACTGAGTTTTGCAGGGTGCGATGCTCAAGGGAAACTGTATGTCACATGCATATCCCCACGTCAGAGACACGAGCGAAAAAATTCGTTTGTGTTCGAGCAATTTCTCGTTGACTCGAGGGAGCCCAGTCGATACGTCGGTCAACGTCGATCGACGTGAAAAACAATTTTAGAGAGTCTCTCCTTGCTAAGTTAGTGTTTTGATTCGTCTATCGGCCGTGGCCCGCAGGATTCTCCTCGATAATTCAATTACTTTCATTAACCGGATCGCTCTATTTTACTATCGCTCGTCCCGTTTCCGGCACCGCCGCTACATTTTGGAGCGCACCACCACGCTGAATCTCGCTTACGTGTAATTTAATTACTGTTATTACTTAATCGAATAAATAACCCACCGCTTGGTCGAGTTCGAGGCGTGACTTTTCCGCCGTTACATATTTACGCAGGAATCGATGATCCGCGACTGAACTTCCACGAATTCGGTAAGAACATCTCCTCCTCGCGTTCAGCGCCCTGTTCATTAATTAATTCTGATTTTTAATAAATTAATCGATAAAGGAGCAACTATTCTGTTCCTATCATCCTGTCTTTGAACAAACATTTTCTGCTTACAAAGTACAAGCTATCAAAATACATCATTTTTTGGTTCTGTAATTAATGTTTCAGTATTATATTTGATAAAAAATTTCCTGCGCTCTTTGCTTTCAGGAATATGAGATGGCCAGAATTGTAGCGAACGTAATCGTCTATTTATGTTTACTCTGTAACATTATCACCGCCGACGAAAGTAACGATAACGTACAGGATGTAGCATCCAAGACGGTATACAAGACTCCAGAGGTGTCTGGATACGCTTATTTAGTAGAAACGTTCGACGATGAGGAGAAGTTTAAGGACACGTGGATATTGTCAGAGGCTAAGAAAGATTCCACGGACGAGGACATAGCTAAATACGATGGTCTGCTTCTGGTTACTTTCATAGAGTATTGAAATGCAATAGAGTTACGATATGATACTATTTTTGTAGGGATCTGGTCCGTGGAGGAACCCAAGAAGCACGCGCAGGAGGGCGATCTAGGATTAGTGCTCAAGAGCAAAGCCAGACACGCCGCGATATCTGCTCTATTGTCCAAACCATTCCACTTTAAAGATAATCCCTTAATTGTACAGTACGAAGTGAACTTCCAAGAAGGTCAGGAATGCGGCGGGGCGTATTTGAAACTGCTCACCTTGGACCCGGAGCATGAAGACTTGAACAAGTTCCACGACAAGACTCCCTATACCATAATGTTCGGGCCCGACAAGTGTGGGAACGATCACAAGGTACACAGCGAGACTCGTAAACATCCAATCCTCGCGCAACTATTCCATAAATTATTTTCTACTTGTTTCTTATTTAGCTACATTTTATCTTTCGGCACAAAAATCCTCTGAACGGCTCCATAGAGGAAAAACATTGCAAGAAGCCGAGGGAACGTTTGGAAGACTTTTTCAAGGACAAGCAGCCTCATCTTTACACTTTGATCATTCGTCCTGATAACAGTTTCGAGATCAAAGTGGATAACAAGGTTGTCAACTCTGGCTCGCTGCTGGACGACTTCACTCCACCGGTTAATCCACCCTTGGAGATAGAAGATCCATCGGATGTTCAACCGGAAGACTGGGACGACAAGGAAAAAATTCCTGACCTGTCAGCTGTCAAGCCAGATGACTGGGACGAAGACGCGCCTGCTCAAATCGTAGACGAAGACGATATCATGCCCGAAGGATGGCTCGAAGACGAACCACCCATGATTCCTAATCCTGATTCCGTCAAACCGGAAGACTGGGATGTCGAAATGGATGGGGAATGGGAACCTCCTGAGATTCCCAATCCAAAGTGCGCAGATGTACCAGGATGTGGACCGTATAAGCAGAAGATGAAGAAGAACCCGAGGTACAAGGGCAAATGGTCGCCACCCTTGATCAATAACCCCAATTACAAAGGGAAATGGAAGCCTAAGCTCATACACAATCCTAATTACTTTAACGATGAGAATCCATTCCAGATGATGTCTATCGTAAGTGTCTTGGGCATTGTTATTGTTATTGGATCGATTCAATTGTTATACGTTAAATATTTTCACATGTTACAGTTTGCTGTTGGTTTTGAACTGTGGTCCATGTCCACCGACATATTATTCGACAATATCCTTGTCACTGACAACGAGGATGTAGCCAGAAAGTGGGCAGACGATACTTTCGAAGTACGTCGTGCTAGAATCGCAGAGGAAAGCGTAAGTAACTTTGTTTCAACCTCGATTAATTCTTTCTGATCCTATGTCGAACAAGAGTTGATAAGAATATACTGAAAGTCTGGACCGTAGAAGGTTTACGATAGCTTTTTTCAATGATTAAACCTAATTCGACAATAATTCTGATGATGAGAGACTTGTTTAGGAAATGTGATACATGTGCACTATGACTCTCAGGTAACCTTGTGGGGTCGCATATTGAAAGCTACGAATTATAAACCAGGCTGGTGGGCGCTGTATTTCTTGTACTGCGCGATACCAGTTGTGTTGTATATTTGGTACCTAGTGAAACGGTTTCGTGAGGTATATCTGGTTATTCAAACGTACATATTGCTTTTTATAGTACTGGTACATACGCAGTAATACCACAGCTGAGTATTCTATAGCTGCTGTTGTACATATTATATTAGTACCGTATTCTAATTGTATAAATCCTATTTCTTCTTTGTAGATCATTTAACTCTACAGCGATGTAGCATTCGGACACTTTACTTTCGCAACTTTCGCTTCATTGCTTTATAACTTTGCCTATAATAAAAGATGAAACAATTGAGATATTACATCAAAACGTCTAGTTAATTGAATACGTAAACTCTATAGTTTCGTTAACTAGAATCAATGTTATGATGCAATATATGTATATGTCAGTTGCTTTATCTTTCATCGTAGGAAAAGTTATAAAGCGACAAAGTAAAGTGTCTGAATGTTAAAGTTACTAGCTGTACGTACACATTTGCCAGATATATTACGAAGTAGTAATTCTATTATCGTATGAAGTTTGATACATCTGGAAATTGTGCTTCGTAAATAGTACAAATGCAAAATTGATTATACTTGTAATTACTAGTAATTTTCTAATTATTTCACATAGTGGAGTGTATGGCGCCAGATTGGTACGTTTACTGCAGAACATCCTTGGATGTGGGCTGTGTATATAATAGCTGCTGGTTTCCCCATACTGCTAGTAATATATTGTTGCTGCTTTGCTTCTCAGGTATAACAAAAATCACCTACATCAACTATGAAAGTATTTCTTTCAGTTCATATATTAAGTCGTACCTCAAATGTGGATAACAATTGGTCATACGGGTTAATAAAAGTTGAGAGACATTGAATATTCAATGAATCTCAACTTGCACTGCTCTATACAATTAATTATTACCCACTAAGTTATAATGAAAATAGCTCAATAATAGAATTGTGCCCATACAAAATCAAGTGCTTACATTATGCTTATTTTTTGTGTATAAATTCCACCAAGTATTTAGATGTAAGCAATAATTGTCCATAGTATAGTAACTGTGCAAATGTAAAACCGATTGACGTAGGAAAAATACGACTTAAAGGATGAAGATAAGCAGCCCTTAGAGGTAAACGAGGAAACAACGCCTCGTCAACAAGAAGAGAACGAAAATGAAAGCGAAACTAAGCCAGATAGCACCAAAGCGGATGAAGAAACTGAGAAGGTGAACGAACCAGAGACAGCGAATGAAACTGAAGAGTTAATAGAAAGCGAAGAGAATGTTAGTGAATATATATCTTGGCAAGCTAATCGAAATAATGTAATTTTGGTGGTTTTAATGGTTGATGTTCTTTCCAGGACAAGCCAGCGATGGGTGGCGATGGACCACGACGAAGAAAACCAAATAAAGAATAGAGTTAATTGAAATTTAAACAAAAAAAGGAATTCATATTAATTAAAATATTTATGCAAAACTTTCACATTCCACGTTACACTTGGTCATTGTGTACGTTAGGGTTTTCAGTGTCCAATACATGCAATACGATCACTAGGAACCAGTTCTTTACCTAAAACTTCTATATTACTCGGTTCGAGCATTAAACTTTTCATTATGTCATACTTTGAGGCGAATGATTTTCACGTTAAGCATGTTTCACGTATGAATGATAATACTTAAAAAAAAAAGAAAAAAAAAAAACAACTATTTGTAACGAATGATGTTCGGTGTAACTATTTATGCCTTAATAATATGTAACGTAGCGATATGTAATTTTTGTTATTGTATGGTGAAAGTGAATAAGAAAAATTTATTCACGGTTTACGTATAAGAATCATGCGTTTAGATGTTCGTGGATGTCGCGTTGTCTGCTATTTTAACACGGATCGTGCGCGAAAATTACAATATTCAGTTCTCGGTTTCGCAGACGTTTATATTATTCGATGTAACGAACTTTCTTAAACAATATGTTTTATTTCTCTGCCATTACGTTAATAAAGTGTACAATGTGAATGAATTACTTTTATGTATAGCATGATGTTGTATTATTTATAACTGTTAAGTTTGAAATTGTTTGAGTGTAATTAAAAGAATACATTATGAAACTCTTCGATTATTTTCTACGATGAATTCTGGTTTGTTTTATTAACGATCAGATGGAAAATTAGAACACACTAATCTAGAATCATGAAGTATATATACAATTAGGTGTCATTTTGGAACAATATTTTTTTTTTGTTCAAGTGCTGATTGAAAAATTTATAGTAGATAATAAAACAAAAATTTGTTATCTCAATTACGGTCTTGGCTCATCGAAGAATTCGTTAAATATTGATCTTTCGAAAATTATACAAGGAAGCTTTTTTGTAGAAGATGAAATTATCTACGAAAAACGTCCTATACAAAGTTTGTATATAATCGATCTCTTTGGAGATATTCGGCGATTTGTGTCGAGCCAAATCTGTATACGAGATACAAATTCCTATCTTGCACGAAAATTTTCGTTTTATCATCTAGTATGAATTTTTCAATCAATGCTTTGAAAAATAAAAGTATTGCTCTAAAACGATACACTCTAATAAATATAAATACATATATCTAATTTATGGAGCTTTATTTTGCGATACTCATTATTTTCTAAATCCTCAGAATGAAACATTAAACTTTATCGTTCCTACATCTTATGATACAATATAAAATAAAAACAGTCTTATTTAAAACGTATCGTGCATCCTTACAAGAATAACTATTATAATACAATTTTATACTAGCGGTTTAAACGAAATTGTATTCCTCCTTCTTAATACTTTCTTCGTTTAAGGGTTTATCATGCTTTGGTTTAAGTACATTAAAAAAAGAAAAAAGAAAGTGTAAATACGTAATCTCTTATCCTACGTTTTCATTGCGGTGAATAATTATTTGTTAAAAATCTATTTTTCTTTCTTTTCCATTGCAGTTAATTTGAACAATACTAACTTACATCGTAAGTACAGATCACGAAGTTATTTACAGGAAGTTAGGGACTAGTAGTCGAAATACTGGAATTCTGAGTGCACGACTTACAAGTAGGCACAGCGCGTTGCGAGAGGTGACCACTGAGAACTGTGTGGTTACCCATGCACCACGTGCACAGCACGTCTCCACACGACCAGCAGTGATGCTGAAAAATTGATTTTCAATTCAATTGTAACATCTGCTTACGAAATTCGTATCGCGGTTAAATGAAACAATTACAAGTAGATACTATAATCAAATTGGAAATTTGTAAGCAGGTATATATAATTACCTGTCGGTTGAATGCGTCGAACGTAGTAGAACATGTACATTCTTCCATATTGCGCGTCGACTTCCAATCCAAAGCAACCGTCTTCAATTCGTTCTCCAACTGATGCACGTTCACTTTGTTCTTAATGTTCTCTTCGTGATTAGTTGCGTTTTCTATTATCGTTTCAGACAGCGGATCTTTGGTGAACTTGTTGTCGTACTTGTGCTTACCTTGCACCCCTTTCTTCTGTGCGTTATTCATCGCTGAACCCAGTGAAGCAACTCTCTGTGGAGTTGTAAATAAGAAAAATCAACTACGAGTTAGAAATCTGATCAGTGAAAGGTATCGAAGAACAAGTGTACCTTTACAAGAAGCTTAACGTGGTCTTCCAGGCAACTGGTGTGATCATGCATCACCAAAAGGAAATCTTCGTACGTCTCTCTGGGATGAATGCCATTCTCGAATCTGAAGTACATTCCCCGCCATAAGCTGGAAAATTATTCTTAAGTCTCTGCGTGTTATTCTTTACAACGATGAAAACAAATTTATGTATTACATGATGCTCTGCGGTGCCAGTTTGGGTTGGAGAACACTGCTGGACTCATCGTTGAAGCGATTGCACTTGTAGAGAGGATTTATGTATTCGTGCATGTTGTTCGCCATGTATCCCCACAAGGAGTAAGTTCTCTCTGACACTCTGCGAGTAATTGGTAGCAGTAAGGTAGTTATCCAAAGTAAACACAGGAAAATAGTAGAGGGAGACTAGTACCTGAGGATTTGCCTTTCCCTTTCGGAGTTTCCTATAAAAGTACCATGTTCACAGCTGTGCACATGGTCATGAAGGGTTAATAAAAAGAGTTCGTTGAACTGAAATTTGTGTGGATACTGTTGCAGCAGCTGGTACGTTGCATCGATGAACTGTGTGAAGATCGGAGCCAGTTCTTTGCTGTCACAGCTGATGTGACCACACCGGTCATTGAACTTGTGTCCGAAGGAGAGCCAGTCTTTTTCTATTAAAGCCTAAAACAATTATTTATAGATAATTTGCATGCAGAGTTTGTGATAATAATTAAATTCTCACTTGAAACCCTTGGATAGTCCTGTAAAATGGGTCCAACAACATAGCACTCAACGAACACACTTGAGCAGTGCGGTCCCAGCCATCGCTGCAGTGCACCACTACACTGACTCCATTAGAAACTGCTCGAGCAATGAACCAAGCAGTTTCTAAAATAGATCTTATGTGTTTGAGCCATCCGCTGCTCTCCAAGCCACTTAGGAATGCGCTCATCGAATTCGTCCTTTGCACTGAAATTAATTAATACGTTTAATACAGACTGTTGTAAATACCAAATAGATAACACTCGGATAATAACTCACGTTCTATGAGCTTGTTCAAGCTAGCTCTCATCACGTGTATGTTCTCTATGCCAAAGAAATGAAACTTTATATTGTCGTAGAAGTTCTCGTTCTCGTATCCCTTCCCTGCAGCTTTGTTGGCGAACGCGTTGATCTAACTCGACAAAGATAAACATTGATATAACATTGATTTTTACGTTACACGTTGAATCACAGGAGCGATTACAATTACAGAAATGCCTTGGTTCGTGATTGTAAACTTACGCGCGGTCGTGTATCTACAACGTACATATATTTGGAATTTGGGTTCGCGCACAGAATATTGTACATCATTTGCTCGTCTTCTGGACACCTCGCGCTGAATCCTGATAACGGCTGACTGCAACGACAAATGGCAGCCTGTAAAATATTTCAAGCGTGAACTTTAAGTGTAGACTTCTGTGTTTGAAAGCTTTCTTATTCGACACGGAAACCTTGTTAGAATGCAGATACGTTAAGACTGGCAGTCTTCCTCTGCTCCTGAACTTTGCGCTGCCTACCAAGGTGCTATTGGCACACGAACTGGGTACGTACAAGTATTTTGGGTAGGTATCGCAGACCTGGAAGGTGGTGTAATGGTATAAATTTGGTATCTGAAGTGGATATCTGAAGCACGTACCTCGTAATTTGTGTTTAAATACGTCAGAGACCATTCTTCGTTCGGAACACCTTGTCTTTGGAACTCGCTTTGTACGTTGAAAAAATTCCATCCTGCCTGCTGCGGCAGAGTGTCTTTGTTGGCTTGGTAGTGAAAACAGTAGAGGTCCTCTATGCTTACTGAAAAGAAGGAAATTAACGTGAGTGTATGGTTCTTTAATTTCGTTTGGAATATAAGGTTTCTCTGTTTCGTTTACCTGGGCAAGATAATTTAGATAAGGTTTGGTATATGTCATGGCAATCTCGTTCCTTTGGAATGATGAACGTTACGTTAAAGAAATGTTTACACTTGATAGACAGCGGCGAGCCTGTTGTGGATAAAGGTTGCTTCTCGATGTTCGAGATATGATTGTATAGAACCTGGAATATTAAATATAAGAGATGTTAAGATAGAAGAAAGGTAAGCATGAAGTAGCATCAATTTAATTTGGTAATTTGTGGTCGTGGTTGAAAAGGTCGAAGTAGATTTCCTACTCTTACCCAAATTTTTTTCTTTCCACTCCACTCGGTGAATATCAGGTGTGTGACAGTCAGATAGAGACTTCCAACGGAGTGGTTGTTGCTGTACCTGTCAAGAATCCTCACATTTTCCACCTGAAACCACAACGATAACAGCTGTTACAAACAAAAACAAAAAATATTCCTGGGTCGTTTCGAACCTCGGATATGAACGTTATCGTTAAATACACACACGAAACGCTGGATCGATTTCAAATTGGCTATTCTGGGAAAATACTCGTTCGATACTTTTCTTAATTGACGTTAAAAACAGGCGATAAGGAAGAGAGAACGTTCTGACAGATATCGAGAATTTACATTGCAGGATTAATTCGAAAGATATTCGTGATAAGTGGAGAAAACGTTCGTGGAAGTACCTTTGGAATCTTTATTTGATCCATTTTGTTTTCCCACTTGTTTTCCATTTCGTTGGATGTTGTTTACACTCGGGGTATCATCATCTGACAGATTGTGAAATTGGGTACCATTGGGAGCGTACATAAAGGTCACCGCTCAGTAGACCGCTCAGTGAGCGGGGTCGGCGGTGGCGCCATCTTGCGACGCGGCGCCCAAGCTTGTAGAGAGAATAGTTCCGACTTCTGCCGCTAGATGGCGCCACCAATAATTTCTTTGTGGCGACTTCTACTTCAACGAGAGTAAAAGAAAGGCGCGTAGCTTTTCGGTAAAAGCATTTTCCACCGGAAGGCAGGAAAAATACAGGAAACGCCAAGCGCCACCTTTTTCCCAACATTTTCTTCTTCCGAGAAGCGAAAGAGAAAGTCAGTTGGCGGATAGCGGCAAGATAGCGCTTGCCAAAGAAACATCAGAGATAGTTAAACAGAATAAGTCGTTCTTCTTGCAAAAGTCCTAAAAGAAGTGTAAATAGTTTTTCTGTATATAAACATATAGTTATTTCTGTAAATAATAAAAATAGTATAGTCGTGTGAAAGCAGTGTACATAATATATACATATATCCTTTCGCGCCTTCTAAATACGCTCCTGCTTAAACGTCGGTAAAACAGAATTTGATAAAATCAATTAAAACAGCCACATATTTATGGCTACTTGGTTTCGTCAATGGTTATTAACTAACTCCGAAGGTTTAACAGAACAAACCAATTTATTATTCTTCAATTTATTATTTACTATTCTATATTTTATTTCCTTCGATGGGAGACAGAGGGCGTCGTCAGTAATGTAGGACTCTGTTCCGCCACATATTTTTTTATTCTTCTTGAAGCATAATTAATTCAATTCTTTGCTTTCTAACACCACAATATATTATTTCGATACATTATTTAACCATTCATTAACTTTTGCACATGTAGTTGCACAAAGTGTTCCTTAAACGCAGCTTCAATTTATATGAAATAATAAAATAATAAGACCATTCGTTATTATTATGCCAAAATTATTATTTTTATGAATATTTCCATATTACTAACGCGCATGCGCGAGCGGCAATCGCAGCCTGAATTCGCGTTGTGAGCTTGGCTACTCTATTCTAATTACTAATTTCCACGCATTTCTGCATTTCTACGCTATTTCGCGATAAAATTGCCATTCGAAAATGATGTCCACATCCCTTTCCCATGATTTCCCTTAAACCGTCACATTTCCTTAACATAACCTACCAACAGAGTAATTTTTGAGCAATTTTGCCCAAGTACTGTAGTAACAACAATAACAACAATAACAACAATGTTACTCATTATAAGACCCATAACCTCTACACTCTACTACTCTACTACAATTCTACAATAATTCCACTTCTTCTTGGACCCATAATTATATCTAATTACAGATATAAAGATACATATCTCTAACAAAAGATATGTCTTTAATTTCCCAAATAGTGTCCCATTTTTTAATTAAGAATTGATTAATAAAAATGTTGCACTCAATGGGAGAACCATCTCCGCAAGATATATTGTCAGAAGTGAGGAAGTTCATTTCTGGAGCGGTCAGACCAACCCATGGCACGAGCACCCTTGACGTGACTCGTACCGCCTTGTCTCTCCTGAGGAGTGTACCTGCAGCTAGAGATGCTGTACTCGAATACTTCTGTAACGTGTTCTTCGTTGCTGTCACCAAACATGTTCGCCAAATCGAAGTAAGTTCATTAACAAACCTCCTACAACAACTTCTCTTATAATTCGTAAACTAAATTTTCACAGACAAATCAAAATATGGCAATCAGCGAAGAGACCATCATAGCAGAGATTCACGCTGTTTTGAGCAGTTTCATTAATGGAAATCCAGAGGCATGGGCACCGATCATTTCTGCATGGTCACTGGAATTACTGGGTATATAATTATTCAAGCATTTCGAATTGGTTTTATTCGGTATTTAAAGTATCTATCGCCAAAAATTCATTACAGAAAAGTACAAAAGTGTTGTGTCTTAGGTAAATTGTCCTCCGACTATGCAAAGCGTGGTAACTTGCCTGGCAATGCCGGAATCAACGATTTTCTCCAACAATGGATGTCGTGTCGAGCCACTCGGACGTTGATCGACATCACCGCTCAATGTCTTCAGTGTCTCATGCATTCCGACACGGAATCTTGTATCAAGGCGTTGCTGGACACCAGCGTGTTACACAGTCCTCACTTTGACTGGGTGGTTGCCCACGTTGGAAGCTGTTTCCCAAATACGGTCATCACCAGAGTGTTGTCTTGCGGTCTAAAAGACTTCTGCAGCATGGGTTACGAACACAACGTCAAGAATCCTAAATTGAATTCAGTTGTTGGAATCCTGGGACACCTAGCCAGCAGTCACTTTCAGGACATCAGTACTGCCTTATTAGACTTATTCAAAGTAAACTGGAATCTTGCGATACTATATTTATAGTATATTAATAAAAATTGTTTAAAAGTCGTTTAATAATATTTTCAGTGGAGTTTGAATGAAGACATGACGGTCGACGAAGACACAAAGAAACAGAAATTAGCTACGGTTCCATTTCTTCTAAATCTAGCATCCCTCTCTCAGACTCTTCTAAAAGCAATAACCAGCGATGTGTTGCAAACCTGTACGTAAATGTATCGTCATGCTATTGTATTCCATTCTAACAAGTTATTTCATTTCTTCTCCTGTTCTTCGTTCCAGTGAAACCAGATATAATTCCACAATTGGCCCTGTTTGCGGCAGACTGGTGCAAGTACTTCGACAACCAGCCAGAAGCTCTGATAGACTTGACTGTGCATCTGATCTTAGGCTGCGAGCAAGGTGCATCGCAGATAATAAATATCTTATTGGACACTGCTTTAAACACCAGCAACGTTGGCTACCACAGTGTCAACGCAGCCCAAAGTGTAAAGAGTGTGTGCAGCGAAATACTGGAGCTAGTGTTGGAAGAAATCGATCTTCTTCTAAGAACACATGGGCCACAATCTGCGAATATCGCTTTACTGACCTCCATCAAACAAGAACTGCCTGTCGTGTTGCCTCTGCTTCTCAACCAGAATCCTCTACGCGTCCAAACTGCTGTCAGATTGCTGTGCTTCCTCGGTAGCCAAAGCGCCAACCTATTGATATCCGCAGCCTCATATATGTTGATCAAAGCAGCAACCACTTTCCATCTTGCTGCTCTGATAAGACTCGTTTCGAACAATGTCGTAGTCTTCCCTGCGAATAAGGTCGAAGCAGAGAATATGTTAGCGAGTCATGGCTACTTTGCTCAAGTAGTGGAACAAGCACTCAGGGAGATAAATTATAAGAACGTTATGGAGAAGCAAGAGAGAAGACAATTTTTTCAGAACCTTACGATACTGTTGCAGTAAGTACATTGAGAGATTTAGCTGTACGGTTGCATACTTGAGGAAATGATAACACCAAGTCTCTTTCAGGTGGGAGAAATCGAACAAAGCAATCATCTTTCGATCGAAGATGATCACGCATGCTATCAAATCCAATTTACATCAGATGTCCTCGTTGTTAACAAAGACAAGGGACTTTGAGCTAGCTAATGACATCGCAAAGATGTTGGACTTGTTCAGCACATCGGAGAAGGACAACTTTCTACCAAATGTGGAGCTCGCTCTCAAGTTAACCAGAGCTGTGATCCAGTACTTCTTTTTATGCATAGCGGAGGATGATGTTACAAAGAAGCAACAGAGCGTCAAGATAGTTTGCCACTTGCTGAAGGATTTGACCTGTTATTCTCCATGCGCTCGTGCATTGGCGTTAAGAGAGATTTTGACGTACAGTATCAACGACGATCCCGCCAAATATTTTGGAGCCAAAGAGAAGTTCGAACCGAAATTCGAAGAGATGTTGCTCTTACACCAGAATCACAAACAGGTCACGAGCACGATGTTAGCTCAAAAGCATTCCTCTGTATTCCACGCTGGTGTAATTGGCCATGGCCCGCGGAAACCACCGCCGGAAAACACGGTTGACAAAGAGACCATCGCTCTAAATAAAATTCTACTGATGGACGTCATAAAGGTAACAGTCCTAAAAGTAACAACCCTCTTCGCAGTTCAGTAAACATTTAAATATTGCAGGCTTGCTGCAGCAACAAGGAATCGGAACGATATCCAGTGAACCTTGATGCCTTGACGATAGTCAGTTTACTGTTGGTTGAGATCATTTCACCCGATGTCATGTACAATGGACTACCATGGCCTGACGAAGAGTTTACAAAAGTATGTAGGAATTTAACTCAGCGTAGTGAATATTTTTAACTAGAGTCCTCTTTAATCTTCATGTCGTAAACTCCCAACATGAGTGGAGGTTTCATTTAATCCTTGTGATTGGTTGCTTGCAATTTGTGTACGCAAGATGAGATCAAATTGTTGCGTTGCAGGTCACCATAGATTGATTGCATGCAATTTGTGTACGCAAGATGAGATAAAATTGTTGCGTTGCAGGTCACCATAGATTGATTGCATGCAATTTGTGTACGCAGGATGAGATAAACTTGTTACGTTGCAGGTCACCATAGATTGATTGCATGCAATTTGTGTACGCAAGATGAGATAAAATTGTTGCGTTGCAGGTCACCATAGAGAGAGATTTACAAATTCATCGAATGTTCAGAGACGTGCCCTTGTTGTGGACATTGTTGGAGTTGACTGCTTGGTATAGGCCAGCTTTAGCGTATTGTTCGGTTTTGTTGAGAGGGATCGCTGCTACTGTTATGGCCAACTGGAACACGGAAGCAGGCGTCTCGCTGGTAAGCGTGATGGCCCTTGGACAATTACTGCCGCCGCCATTGGCGAGCATAAGGGACATTTTGCCCGTTTTAGAACCCCATCAGGTGCGTCGCAGTTTCTAGACTAATAAATTGCACGGTGACTGGACCTAGCCGACATTCTCGATGGAATTCTATCATTTTTTAGATAAACACTATAATGAAGGAGTGTGTGTGGGCTTACATGCGGGAGAACGTCCCATCGCCAGCCCTATTCACGCGCAACGAAGGAGCCAATATAGCTTGGAGGGACACGGACACGTCTACTCCAAACGCGAGGTTCACGGAAACGCTTCGTTTAATTCTTCTAGCCAATATTCATACTCTAGGGCCACTCTACGCCACCCTATTTTACAACGAAAACAAATAGTTCATCTACCAATTAACAGATTGTCTGTAATTGTGTAATAATTCTTGCGAATAGGTGTTGCGAACCAGTCCAAAACTGACAAGTGTACAAGTATGATTAAATATCTGCTTTGTGGG